CCACATTTTGGCTTGCAAATGCCATTCGAGACCAGACCTCATCACTTTTGACAGTGAAACAAAGGAGGCTTAATACCTAATTTGGCTTTCAAAACCTTACCTTAGGGGGTTTTCTTTATTGCATGAAACCTTTGGTGAATTTCTTTTTAATTTATCCCAATTTTTTGTTTGACTTTTGCCTCCCCTAAATCAAGCTCTTTTCATCAACCAAACTTATTTTTCACCTTACAGAAGCCAAAACCAATAATCCATTGTTTTGTTTTGAGACAAAACAATTTTGGTAGCCAAAAGTGAAAGAAAACATGATTCTTTTGACTCTGTGATGAAAATTGCCAGGTAGTCAAAAGCCTCATTCATAGGCACTGGCTCTAAACCAGTGTTCTCCATTGCCAGCAACGTGCACCCCTGTTACACTGATGGCAGAGCACAGGGGGCCCATCTGAAGGAATCTGGGATCACCTGGGGCAAGGCAGGTCCACACTGAGCTAATGCTCGTGATTCCCCTGTCTTGAAGGTGATGGGGGACCCACCACCCCTCAGCTCCTATGCAGGAAACAAGCTCACAGGGTGTGGTGGATGCTATTTAAGCCATAATGAAGAATGTTTTAACTTGGGGCAGTCTTAAAAGAAAAACATTGGAAAAAGGGTTGTTTGGGAAAGAATGAACAAAAATCACGTCCAGGAAGGGGAGAGAATGAGGGAAAGATGTGTCCCTTCCTAAAGGAGAACCGAGGGGGAAGCAGGGACAAGAGCAGTGGTTGTGCAGGGCTTTAAAAATGGTCAGGCAAATCAAATCACCTTTATCACCTGTTTTGGCTGGTAGAAATGTCTCAACAGAAGAACTCTATTAGTGAAGCACAATCTGACATTACCATAGGCTCATTTAGCTGCTGCCTCCTTATCTTCAGCATTTTCTGGACTGTGGGAGCACCTGCTTTTCACTTGGTGCTGTATAAACACAAGATGATGCTCCCTCTCCTGAATCTAACGTCAAAAATCCCCATATGGAATAAAACAAAGTGGGGGATCACCTGGTCATCTGGTTAGGAAGAAGCCTGGGGACCAAGCTCATTGCACACCAGCCAAGAGCTAAATAAACCCAAAGCAGAGCACAGATTTCAGGAGTCCAAAGAGAATTGTATCTGAAATTACAATTTAACCCAAGAGGAGTCATCTCCACCTTGGGCTGTACTGTTTGACAGTTAGGAAGACAGCCT